ACAATTGGAAAAATTATTTTACAAAGGTTATTGACAATATGTTTTTCCTTCCTTGTAATACCGGGAGAAGTTAGCATTAAGGTGTTGGAAGGAAAATCCATCTGATTCAGTTCCAAGCTGGGGGAAAGATGCTGGAAACAACATGGAAGCTGATTGGAAAGAAAGTTCATTGAAGAACCACACACAAAGTTGGCGTGCAGTTCTGGGTCAGCTGAATGATTAGCTAGATGAATGCCAGGATTTTTATACAGGTCCTGAAATGGTGCTGGGGGTTGGAGTTGTGCAATTAAGGGGCTTATGTTTTGAAAGGGTGTTGGGCAATTCCTATTGTGGCTAATGGCTTTCGTCCTATCCTGGATCTTGGGTGAGGGGCTGCTTTCTAATCCTAACATTCTGCTTTTGTTAGTGTCAAACTTTGCTGCAAGGAGTTTCAAAATATTCTGTCTTGAATGGGCTTCTGCTGGCAGTATTTGTTTTGCTTATGAATGGAGCCATCAAGATAGTTAGCTTCCTCTTTCAATAAGCTTTTTATCTCCTTAAGTGTTGGCATCTGCTGTGGGCTATTAAGAAAGACTGGGGTCTGCTTTCTGCCTCTAAAATGTTTCTCTATTTCTTCTTTAGAGAAATATAATATTCTGCATTTTTAAATATTTCCCAAAATATTTCATTCTTTGTGGGGGGCTTCACACAAAAGTCACATATTATATGGATGGGATAACATTTATTGCAGAATAATATTAAGGATCTTAATATATGTACACTGCTCAAAAAAATAAAGGGAACACTTAAACAACACAATGTAACTTCAAATCAATCACACTTCTGTGAAATCAAACTGTCCACTTAGGTAGCAACACTGATTGACAATCAATTTCACATGCTGTTGTGCAATTGGAATAGACAACAGGTGGAAAGCATAGGCAGTTAGCAAGACATCCCCAATAAAGGAGTGGTTCTGCAGGTGGTGACCACAGACCACTTCTCAGTTCCTATGCTTTCTGGCTGATGGTTTGGTCACTTTTGAATGCTGGCGGTGCTTTCACTCTAGTGGCAGCATGAGACGGAGTCTACAACCCACACAAGTGGCTCAGGTAGTGCAGCTCATCCAGGATGGCACATCAATGCGAGCTGTGGCAAGGAGGTTTGCTGTGTCTGTCAGTGTAGTGTCCAGAGCATGGAGGCGCTAACAGGAGGCAGGCCAGTACATCAGGAGACGTGGAGGAGGCCGTAGGAGGGCAACAACCCAGCATCAGGACCGCTACCTCCGCCTTTGTGCAAGGAGGGACAGGAGGAGCCCTGCCAGAGCCCTGCAAAATGACCTCCAGCGGACCACAAATGTGCATGTGGCTGCTCAAATGGTCAGAAACAGACTCCATGAGGGTGGTATGAGGGTCCAACATCCACAGGTGGGGGTTGTGCTTACAGACCAACACCGTGCAGGACATTTGCCAGAGAACACCAAGATTGGCAAATTCACCACTGGTGCCCTGTGCTCTTCACAGATGAAAGCAGGTTCACACTGAGCACATGTGACAGACGTGACAGGGTCTGGAGACGCTGTGGAGAACATTCTGCTGCCTGCAACATTCTCCAGTGTGACCGGTTTGGCAGTGGGTCAGTAATGGTGTGGGTGGCATTTCTTTAGGGGGCCGCACAGCCCTCCATGTGCTCGCCAGAGGTAGCCTGACTGCCATTAGGTACCGAAATGAGATCCTCAGACCCCTTGTGAGACCATATGCTGGTGCAGTTGGCCCTGGGTTCTTCCTAATGCAAGACAATGCTAGATCTCATGTGGCTGGAGTGTGTCAGCAGTTCCTGCAAGACAAAGGCATTGATGCTATGGACTGGCCCGCCCGTTCCCCAGACCTGAATCCAATTGAGCACATCTGGGACATCATGTCTCGCTCCATCCACCGCCACATTGCACCACAGACTGTCCAGGATTTGGCGGATGCTTTAGTCCAGGTGTGGGAGGAGATCCCTCAGGAGACCATCCGCCACCTCATCAGGAGCATGCCCAGGCATTGTAGGGAGGTCATACAGGCACGTGGAGGTCACACACACTACTGGCCTCATTTTGACTTGTTTTAAGGACATTATATCAAAGTTGGATCAGCCTGTAATGTTTTTTTCCACTTTAATTTTGAGTGTAACTCCAAATCCAGACCTCCATGGGTTGCTAAATTTGATTTCCATTGATAATTTTTGGGTGATTTTGTTGTCAGCACATTCAACTATGTAATGAACAAAGTATTTAATAAGAATATTTCATTCATTCAGATCTAGGATGTCTTATTTTTGTGTTCCCTTTATTTTTTTGAGTAGTGTATGTATATTATTTCTTCAAAGATTTGGTAGCCCAGAGAGGTAAGAAATTGTTGACACTAGCTTGTAACCTGTGCATTTCATTTTCCTCTGACCTCACAATTTTATCATTCCTTCAACCATGCTGTTGTAAGAGAAAGGGTTCAGACAGGAAATTCTTCATTCCACCCAGATATACTGTAATTAATAGCATTACCATTTAATGAATAAATCATATAGTGAATGTTTTCACATACAACTTAAAATCAAACAGGCCAATCACATTTTAATTGTGTAAATTTAACCTGTATGCTTAAATTATCATTCAGTATATTATATAAATCTCAAACTGGATTAATTCCTTATAGGAACCTTCACAAAGGAGAATTTAAACTTATCGTTATAAGGTTCTTGCATAACTTTCCCTCAAGAGGCAAAGTAGGTCCTTTTTTTTACAGTGACTAAAGTGCAGGCTAAAATGACTAAAAAGTAGTCATGAAAAAGAATGTTTTCCCAGCATCATAGTACTTTTTTTCAACAATTTCATTATATCTTGTCTAAAGAATCAACCAACACTCAAATGCATTTATTAAAGATATTGTCTAGAAGGAAATAGTCATATTAATGTTACTTCTTCAGTTGTTTATGAAGAGCCAGAAAGTTGACAACTTATAATTTTATTTTTTTCAGTTACACAAAATGTTATGCTATTTTTATTACTGTAAATTATGTTTAGGGTCTTCTGTTCCAGAGACTATAGGAATTTCAATATCTCAAAAAAAAAAAAAGCTCAAAAGGGTAGCAATTGTGTGGGATAGGCGGGGCTAAGAATTTGATTGAAAATGAACCCTCCAGCCCTCTGCAGGACTTCATTATCTGCAGAGAAATTTAGAGCTAACTAAATTCTGCCTGAAGGCTCAACAGAATAAAAAAACTATATATTATATATTTGGCCTAGCCAATTAATATTTGTTTGTAGTGTCTGTCTGTCTATCTATCTGTTGGAAGAAAAAAATCCTTCTGGGTTCAGTTCCAAGTGGGGAAAAAGACACTGGAAACATGGAGGCTGTTTGGAAGGTTTAATGGTGGACAGGACCACATGGCCTGGAGCTCCAGAGTGAAAAGGAAGGATGATCACATGCTTCAAGGTGAAGGAAAAGATCAAGAAAGGACTGAGGTGCTGAGAGTGCCTGGGTTTTATAACCTTTGTTGGGATTTGAACTGGAGCTTGTATTCTGATTGGTTGTCAGACTCCCATGGGGCCATGCAAGGGCAACTCTGTAGGCTGTCCTGAGTCCCAGGCTTGGTTGAGCCTTGCTGGATGATGATGCACCGAAAAGGGCTTTTGGCAATTGCTATAGTTTTACCTGGAGATCTTTGTTACGTAAAGTATTCTGGCCCAGGCCTTAATGGCCTACCCATTAACAAAGATGGGGGTGAGTTTCTGCTCTTGAGTTTCTACTCTTTTTAGGGAAAATATTCTGCCTTTTTAATATTTCCTAGGATATTTAAATTTTCTAGGAGAGGGGTGGGTGCTAACTTCCTACATATCTATCTACCCCTCCCTCCCTCAAAACAAAGATTGGCTAGGCCATCCTCAACATTCAACGGTATAAAACAAGCCTGCATGCATAGCTTTTATTATTGCTTGGTTACAGTCAGCCAGATGTCCACAATGGATTTGGCATCTTTGTCCACCTATCAAGTCCTTCCCAAGAACTTAAAACAGCCAGAAGTTGGTTCGGTGGTATTTGTAGCAAAAATAACCGAGCCTTGTCACAACTTTATCAAATATAATGTACTTGAATGAATCCCATGCATATTTGCTTCGATCCGCTTGGCGCTTCCAGGTCCCCATTATACTGGGAATTGAAATTCCACAACTTACAAGATAACTTAAAAAAAAGCAGATTTTCAAGCACGACATACACTAAACGTCTTAACTACTACCGTCGTTTCGCTGATGCACAGTAAGTATAAAAAGATTCTGCAGAGTTCCATGAAGTTGATTTGCTGCAGGACTAAGCATATCCGAGCTGCCACCCCCCCAGATTTCTACATCACGTTTCCCTCCTCCGTTCAGTGGTCAACCGGATTTCTTGCAGTCCAGACAAGGGTGGTAGCCCTGATATCTTCGTTTCAGTGCTTGTAGATTGGAGCGTTATTCCAAATGGTGACGTTGTTTCTACGGTATATTCCAGATGCTGGGTAGTGCGTTCGACAGCAGGCTGCCCTATTCTTCCCCCCAATCCCACCCCCAAATAAAACAAGCAAAGGAAAACAATCGACCCTCGCCGGCTTCCCCTTTCAGATTCCGAAAAACAACACCACCCCGTTAGGCTTCTCCCCATTGGCTCCTCTGCATTCCGTAACTCCGGCTCCCCTTCTCAAAGCAAGCGCGTCAATGAGGTTTAAAAAAAACAAAAAAACAAACCAGGCCCCGCCCACTCTTATTAGCGCCACGTACCTTCCCTCGGTGCAACGCAGCTTCGTCACTTCATTTCTGGTCGCGCAACCGTACCTGGTTGTCTCGAGGTAGCCCAATCGTCGCCCTACGCGATCCCCAGAAAGGGGAGCGCCCCTGCCAATCCGTGAGCCGCAAGAGGCGGTACTTGTCACCATGGGAACAGGGACTAGGTTTGCCGAGAGAGCAGTTTCGGGGGTGGGGGTGTATTGGCAAAGAGAAGGAGGGAAGGGAAAGAGGAGGGAGGGAGGGAAAAAGAGGGGAGTGCACGAAACAAACCCCGACGCCGGGGTATTTTGCTGTTTCGGCTCGAGGGTTCCCGTCGAGAGAAAGCAACCTGCTCAGGATCACCTGGTCTCCACCTCTAGAGCTATGGATCCTTGCCGAAGGAAGCAGGTAAGCTATGGATCCTTGCCGGAGCAGAGCAATGGGGGATCAGCTTGGGTTACCCCAAGTTTCTTCCCTTACCCAACAATGCTCGGGGTTTTGTTTCACAATTTGCATGCATTGTCAAAGGGGTGGGTTATAGAAAGAGTGTCCAGGCTGGCCGACCGGCCCCGGAGTGTGCATTTCTCCGCGGGAAGTTGGAAAACTTGACAGGCACCGCAAGAGAAGGTTGCAGTGTGGGTGAAGCAGAACCCGGTCCAAAGGATTAGCATCCTCGGATTTCTGTCTTTAGCATATGGATTCAGAGTTCCCCATTGGATGACAGCAGGAATGGCAAGGAAGTAAAGTTTCTCGAATGCCCTCCGTTGGGATGAAAACACTCCGGTTTTTACAAAGAGTGGGTAATGATTTAAAGTCAGCCAAAGGTACAAACTGAAATGGCAAAGGTTTGTATAATGCTGCCTGAATGTGGTATCACTCATTAAAGTAGACGTAGAAGTTACCTTGGGGTTACGTTTCACCATCCCTTATTTCAGACTCTAGTTTTCCAAAGTTTAGGAAAGCTGTTGTGAAAGACAGTTTTAAACTGGAATTAATAGGGTTGTGGAAAATGGCATTTAAGCACAATCTGATGAGTAATAATACAAGCTTCTAGTATTACAGCACTGTATCATTATTGGATGATGAAATGTTTGTCATATCAGCTTCTAGTATGATCCCATACAAATGATATGTTTATCATTTATGATTGTTTTAGGCTTGGTCATTTATATTCAGAAAACTCCTATGATATTCTGAGAAAATGAACCACTACTACTAAATTGACATTTTTCTAATTATGGTCTTGCAACATACAACAATATATAAAAACAGTAATTTATATAAACTGAATTAACTGTTTCTAAGTTAAAATGCATGTTTTAACATCACATTTTGTAAGTACTGCCTCCTCTGAAGATTGAGAAGGAGACGTTAGTAGCTTTTTTGTAGTAAAGTAGCAAATGATTTATTGGCTTTGGTTATTAAGATGTATATGAAATGCAGAACAATTTAGGATAAAGTATAGTTATTTGTATTAAGTTATTAGATCTATTTGAAATACATTGCTTAGAAGCAAATTAACTTCTATAGCTTGATTCATAATAGATAATGATGCCCAGTTGAAATAAAGTCCACATTTGATAGTTTAGCAATATTTTAATATAAAGTTGAAAATTAATATTGCAAGAATTTTTTATCCTTCCTTGTTTGATGATTCATGCTTTCAAGCTAGTCTTTCCCCCTGGCATATTGGACTTATTTAAAATAAAAAGATATCAAAACACCTGAACATATGTTATTGGAACCATCAAAACATCTACTTGTATAATGCAGGAATCCAAATTTGAACATTTCCCCCCTGAAAATGTGACAAGCGATTAAAGTGCTGTTATCATTAAGAAGTTAAACTGGGAACTATCTGCCTGTAATTTAAGAACATTATTATGTGCCCTGCCATGTGGGAGTATTAGCATGAGGGAATGAACAAAGTTAAGTCTTTGTAACTTCATTGGCATTCAATCTTTTCTATCTTTATCTTTCCCATTTTTTAAAAAAGATTGTAGCCTCCTTGGGTACTTTTTTTAATTTATGGAGTTATATTATAATGGTATACAATTGGGGGTGTTATATAAATAAACCATATAGTACAAGATATTAAATTAGAACTGAAATCAGCCTCAACAAGTCACTGGCTAATTTAGGACCAATTGCTCTTTTAAAGTATTTCTTGAAAATATAACGGCACCATTTCATTTCAACAACTTAGAAGTAAGTTGAGAACTGTTTTTAAGATAAATTAGTTTAAGAATAATACTTAAACTGCTTGAAGAAAGAGATATATATATATATATATATATATATATATAGTCTTTATATTATTAATATTCAAAATAATGTCAAATTACTGTTAAGCTTGAGGTAATACATACAACCACAGACCACACTTAGTCTGTTTAGTGTTGAAACAGTAACAGTTTTATTACCAAGGAGTTGCAACATTTTCTTAGGTGGGTACTTTTAAAGTGGAAGGAAGAAGCATTAGGTGAAATATTTTGAGAATGCAAATATCTAAAATCTGTAATACAAAAAAATCAATAATTCTTCACCAGTAATTGTTTTCCTTTTGTCTTTATAATTGTTACATTTAGTAGTAGATTCACTTTATCTGTATTCTTTATTATTATTAGCCATTCTGGCATTTTCCTTAGTAGAAAAGCTAGATATAAAACTAAATATGATAATTCTGTTAAGGCTTTAACAAGAAGCAATGTTTTCATATGACTGTTGAGGCTAAACACAATAGGAATAAAGGATTGTAAGCTGTTTCTTTTTTATATATATCTGTTAATCCACATGGGAGAAACCATCCAGTTCTTTATCTTCCAGATCTTCCAAAGGGCCCATTTCACTAAGTGAATATAGTTAATGTTGAGGGATGAGGTGTAGTTCAGTAACATCTGGAGGATAACATGTTTCCTAATGCTGGGAGAGAAGATCCATTGGATTTCTCTCCATTCTTCTATTTCTTAGGAATGTCTCAGTTTTGCAAGCAAATTAGCAGAACCTGTTGGGGTGGGCAGTGCTTTGAGCTAAAAGGAAAAAGATGCTTTAGACCAGTATTTTCTCAACCTCAACAACTTTCAAGATATGAGAGCTTCTGGCTGGGAAGTTCTAGGCACAAAGGTAGGACACATCAGCAGCCCCTTCAATCAAATATATGTTTTCAAAGGATTTCAGTGAAGCTTTGGGGGGCAGCTACATGCTGCATGTTGAGAAAGCTCTGGAGACCCCTTTCCCCTTTATATAGAAAGTGCTGCAGCTACTGTACCACATGTACTAAAATATCCATAATTTCTTCCATGAAGTAGAAAAAAAATGAGTGCGTGTGACTTATAGCACATATCAATCCATTTTCAAACATCTGTTATTCCTACATTTTAAGATTGAAAATTAGTGCTTGTCTTATCATGAGTCAGCAATATAAACTCTAATTTGAGATTGCTAATTTGAGATATAAAAGTGGCATAGATTTAATTACTTGAGTTTAGAATTGGGGGAGAAAAATCTTCAGCAAGCAGAATTTTAGAAAAAAATTTATAGTCTCCAACTATTCCACTACAGGCAGGATAAAACAATTTGGAGAACAGCTATAAACTCTAAAAAAAGAAGCGTGCTGGACATTAGATGCCATCTAAACGATTCCTTCTTGATAAGTCTGATTAAAAAAAAAAGAATTGGAATGGAGCTATTTAGACAATGGAAGCTAGTCCCCTGCTTAGACAAGGAAACTAAATTAAATATCCCACACAGACAGTTGTTGCTGTCTGCTTGAACTATCCAACCAAAGGGAGAAACGTAAGTGATTTGTGTACTTGTAATTTTTAATCATTGAACTGCTCCTGTCTAGAAAGTTTTTCTAATATTCAGTTGGAATTTGTTTTCCTATAAGTATTATTCCGTGCTTTGCACTCTAGAATGCTCTCCTATTCTTCTTCCGTTTTCTCTCTGGAAAGCCAAACATTCCTAGTTCCTTCAGTGCATATTCATAGGACTGAAATACTGTATGATTATCATCGTTCTGATTATTGCTGTTCAAGTTTTGTTATAATGCTTGAAATTGGGGATTGATCATGCAAGCTAAATTGAAACCGTCATATTCCATGATTTGGAATTTACACTTATGTTGATGCAATCTAACATTGTAGTGAGCAATAACCAGCTGTTGGATGTTGCATTTGCATTTGTCAGCTGGTTAACACATTTGGTGTGGTAAGAACGTTTGGTCTTGTTAAGGGGAAATGATGCTGAACCTTTGAAGAACTTCAAAAGCAGCTATTTCTTACCAAAATAATTCTTTTCAAATCCTTTGAACTGATCTAGAGACTGTGTCTATTGTGGGGTTTGTTTTCTGGGTCTGTTATCAATGTCTTTTTTTTAGCAAGTATAGGCTTACTTTAAAGGGCTGTAAAAAATGTGTTTCTTCTTTTAACTGGTCTTAATTGGAACTGAAGGTGAAAAGCAGTGTTACATTGCTTTCTGTTCTGGGATTATTTAGAAAAAAATATTCCTAGTGCTATTTGGTGATATTTTTATTCTTTTATTTTTGTTTTGTTTTGTGAGCATTTTATTGTAAGAATTTTTGATTTACATCACTGTGTTTTTTCTGTTGAGTTTGAACCGCTATCATTAGTATTGTGATTGGCTATAAATGCTATATTTGATGATGCCCATTACGTATTTTCCTAGTATTGGATAAGGTACATGAAAACCAGTGAAGTCCTGATAGAACATTGCAATGCATCCAATCTATGGGGAGTATTAATGAAAAATGCCATCAATATATCCCCAAGAAGCCACTTTTAAGGATAAGAGATAAGAAAGCTTTGAACTAGCTAAAAGACGTTGACACGTTGTATTGTGAAGCTATGGGAGTGACCATAGTGCCAACTATGTGAGTCATGTGGCATTTGGGCAGTCCTAGAATCTAATCAGATAAAGACAAGTAGTTGTTAATGCATACAAGCATGATAATCTAGGCCAGCAAAGATGCTACTTTTAAATATTTTAATCCAACTTTATTGGACAACTTAGCATAAAATGAGTTAACATCTGTGATAATTAGAATTATTTTTATAGAGATAATGAATGGAAAGTATTTTTTTCTGCAAAATCTGGTAACCTGAAATTTTGAGATGGGATCCATAAAACCATATAATATCAAATTTAATAATATCAAATTCCAAAACAGTGGGGTATCCAGAGTTTCCTGACTATACTTTGGGAGGTAAATAAGTTAGATTTCTGAGGTTTATTATGCAGATCTGGTCATAAACGTCAAGCTTTTTCATCAGCTTTAATTGGATCTGATACAGTGATAAATGGTTGGACCTGTTCATAATTATGGGAGCTCAGCTTTAAATATGGCTATTGTTTTTGAACTTTGAATGGTTTGCTTTGTTTGATAAAAC